CGGGGTGTGGGGGTGTGTGTGGAGCAAGTATGCTGCTCCTTTCTTCACCAAGAAGGGTCATCAACAAAGTAACTTAACTAATTTTCCATAAATTCCCCTCCTGAACTTGAAGTATGTGCTGAAACCCCCAATTTCAATAAGAACGCTTATCTGCAAATCCAGGTGTAATTTAGGATAGCCCCAGGACGTGACTAGACGGGCAGTTCTCCTGTTCAGGTGGCTGGGTTCAGGGCTGCCTAGCTGGTATGCAGCTTCAATTCGCAAGCTGAACTGCACAATGTCCAAACTCCTTGGCAGAGAGATGGTGCTCATTAGCTTGGGCACACCTCTGAGCAATCGTTACTCAGTCTCTGGGCTGGAGCTGATTTACATCCAGCTCACTGAGAATAGGAAACTTGAGTTTGCAGCCACCCACGTAGATTTGCCCCCAAGGAGATGAAAATTCAGGACATTTCTTTCACACCGCTATTTTCAGCAAATTCTTTTCACACCCAAAACTGGATCAAGTACTTCAGTGTAAAACATGAATATGCCTACACTAACATCAGTATGCAAGATAAGGACACACATGGTAAATATGTGAGGAGGCCAGTGGAAATTTTCTGTGCAAGTTTTCTCAAAGTTTTTCAACTACATAAAACCAAACTATGAATAAAAAATGTAGATAGTTAAGTAAGCTGGTGATAATATTAGACAATCTAGTTTTATTCTTTCTTCTTATACTATTGATTGTTTTTTCTCCTGGACAAAAAGCTAATGATGAATAAGGAGCTCAGGAGCTTTGATTTCAACTGTTGTAGACAGTAAAATTTTCCAGCGTTGTGTTACTTACACTAAGCAGATGAAAACAAAATTTAAATGAAGAATTTTAAGTAGCTTTCTACCGTAATCATGAAACTTGTCATGAAATGCAACTTCATTATAACACGTTCAGTATCTACAACTTCTCTGCTCTCCATAACTACATGCAAAATTATATAAAATCCTCTGAAAATGTAAGATGTTTTGTACATGACATTGGGGTTACTGTTAGCAAAGACAGTGTTAAACAAAGGAATATAATTTCATAAAACATAAAGATTAATTATTCCCATTTTCATATTATAGAAAAATACTACTGTTATCTAGACTCCATTTGTTATGACTGTGCTGTTAAAAACAAGAGGTTTTAAACCAATTCCACCTTTCTGGCCAGTGCAGATGTGTAAAGACTGATACTGCAGAACTGCCACACTAACTCCTGACCTATACCATCTCCAAATATGCTATACAGGAGGTGGTTAAATAAGTAATTAACTACCAAAATCTCTTGATTGAAAACATTAGCAAAGTCTTCAGCATTCCAGCCTTTAAATGAATGACACATCTTGATGTGTTCCAGCTCAGCTACAAGTTAGGGACTAGGTATAGGAGAAAAAAAAAGGGGGTGAAGTTGAACAGTCCACATTATGCAAGAGGTCAGATAACGTGTTTTCTTTTGGCCTTCAATACATAATCATACGAAAAGGGAGTAGGGAAACTGCAATGCTTTTTTGTGTACTGAAGATGTCTATTTTCAGGACATCCCAGGGTAGCTACTGGTAACTTACATCAGCTTTCTGTGCAGAGTTGACCAGGCAGAAGAGAGGTCCCAATGTCAGCTGCACTGACCATATCATGGCCAAGATTTAAAGATCTGTCACAAAAACTCTTTTTTACACAGCCAAAGCTCACATTACTGTCCTTTCGCAGCACTGTGATCAACTAGTGGAGTTCAGTGTGAAAGCCTTGGCACAAGAGTGAAAAAAAAAAACACCCCACAAACAAAACAGAAAAAACCCAACGCAACAAAAAATAGCAATTTTCAATTGTGCTCACCTCAGTTATGACAAGGTGAGCACCCTTTGACAAAACACAGAAGAGACTTACAGGAAAAGGTGTGAAACAACTTCTGTCTTTACTGGCACCACTTGAATCAAGAACAGGCACTAACAAGCAACGGCCTTAAGGAATTTACTTGTTGTGTTCCCTTGCCAGCCTCTCCCAGCAGGTGTTGCCATGTGGGGATTTGTACCAGAAAAAAACTAGATGCACACAGTAGGACAAGAGGGAGGGAGGGAGGGGAAGCGACACAAACGTGTGTGTGTGTGTGCACGTAAGCCTTAAATGAAATTAAAATCTGATGATCAATGAAAGCAAAAGGTTTGATGGAATGCCAAAGAACATTTTGCTTTCTAGTTTACTCATGGAGAAATTCGATTTCATGTATAGCTCCTCATTACATATCTCTCTGTCATGCTATTGTGCAACTCATCACACCTTTATAAAGTATAATTTGTTTGGGTTTTTTTTCGGAATATTGATTGGATTGGAATCCAAAGATCTGGCTCAGCTGAGGTAAACTATTTTGTATCTGAACATACCAGTGAAATTTCATTCATTGGTTCATCATTACCATCACAATAGGAAAGGGAAAAGCAAGTAGATCCTTTGCCTGAGCTAGTAATTTTTCACAGGAGTTTTGCAAGGCTATATGAAATTAGCTTTCCCAGCCTCTTCTCAATTCGCAAGACTAACACCCTAGGCTATCTCAGCCAATGCTGACTGTTTTCCATTGAGTCATGCTCATACTGATTCATCATGGAGATGCAACTGTTCCAAACTCCAGCCTTTCTCAAGAACTGCAGAAGAACTACACGCATACTGTGGAAAAGGCTGAGAAGTGGCACACACCAAAACAGAGGCTGACTGCTTGCCACTCTTCCCTCCTCTTCTCTCCCCAGAAAGGAGAGAGTAAGAGATAACACCAGAATTAAAATACATTAACCCTGCTCCTCATGAGACAATCTCTAGTGCAGTAGTTGAAAGAGGTAATGCAACACCAAGACTAAAACTGTCATTAAAGAAACAGTGAAAAGACACAGTGTATCTTTTCCTCACTTCCACAAAAAAAGAACTTGCTGCAAGAACCATACGCAAAGACAGTTCTTCTCTAATCCTAGAATGATTAATCACAGAATCATTAAGGTTGGAAAAGACCTTTAAGATCAAGTCCAACCATCAACCCAACACCACTATGCCCACTAAACCATGTCCTGAAGCGCCATGTTTTTTGAACACTTCCAGTGATGGTGACTCCACCACCTCCCTGGGCAGCCTGTTCCAATGCTTGACTGCTCTCTCAGTGAAGAAATTTTTCCTAATATCCAGTCTAAACCTCCCCTGGCGCAACTTGAGGCCATTTCCTCTCATCCTATCACTAGTTACTTGGGAGAAGAAACCAACACCCACCTCACCACAATCCCCTTTCACACAGCTGTAGAAAGCGATAAGGTTTCCCCTCAGCCTCCTCTTCTCTGCAGTAGTTGAAAGAGGTAATGCAACACCAAGACTAAAACTGTCATTAAAGAAACAGTGAAAAGACACAGTGTATCTTTTCCTCACTTCCACAAAAAAAGAACTTGCTGCAAGAACCATACGCAAAGACAGTTCTTCTCTAATCCTAGAATGATTAATCACAGAATCATTAAGGTTGGAAAAGACCTTTAAGATCAAGTCCAACCATCAACCCAACACCACTATGCCCACTAAACCATGTCCTGAAGCGCCATGTTTTTTGAACACTTCCAGTGATGGTGACTCCACCACCTCCCTGGGCAGCCTGTTCCAATGCTTGACTGCTCTCTCAGTGAAGAAATTTTTCCTAATATCCAGTCTAAACCTCCCCTGGCGCAACTTGAGGCCATTTCCTCTCATCCTATCACTAGTTACTTGGGAGAAGAAACCAACACCCACCTCACCACAATCCCCTTTCACACAGCTGTAGAAAGCGATAAGGTTTCCCCTCAGCCTCCTCTTCTCCAGACTAAACAGCCCCAGTTCCCTCAGCTGCCTCTCATTAAGACTTGTTCTCCAGACCCTTCACCAGTTTCATTGCCCTTCTCTGGACACACTCCAATAACCCAATGTCCTTCTTGTAGTGAGGCGCCCAAAACTGAACACAGCTGGGACCTCAATGCTGTCAGTTTTTTTTTTAATAATGGTGCTGCACAGAAGTTAAAAGCTTGGGAATTTTGTGGGGCACAATCCCTGCCATCATCTCCCAGTGGCACGTGTGCCACTGGGAGAGTGGCTGCCAGGTATACCAGACACTGCTTCACAAGACCTTAACTGCTGCAGGAAGGCTGCCAGCCTCCTGGTGCTGTTGAGCTGCTGGCGCCGCACAGAGTCAGGCTCCTCCAGCCACTGTTACAATCTTTATATTGTGCTAGCACAGAATGTTTCTTTGATTAGCATCCTTGAATTTTTTACAGAGAAAAAAAGCCTCCAAAAACATTCAGCAAACACCTGAACATAATGCTGCTCCTATGAAAATGAGAAGTTTTCCATTGATTTTAAAGGCATTAAGTCCTTAAAAACTTAGTATCCTAGAGATCTTGAATAAGGAGTAACATGAACAGAAAAAGAAGGAAAACTTGGTAAATAGCATCTTAGAGCAAAGTGGAACCAGACTCATGCTTTGCAGTATGCTAGAAGTGGATGGAGTAACTGAGCAGCTCAGGCCTTGATTTATGCTAAAACTGCACCTTAAAGAAGAGTTCCATTAGTGTGCACAAGGGCAGTGAGGTGGTAGGTGCAGGAAAGCTTTACTGCTCAACTACTGGCAGATAAATATGGTGCCAAAATAACTCCACAAATCTGAAGACAACTTCCTTGTCAAAATCAATTACATTTTGAAAGTTGGGACTGAAATGCAGTCAGTCTTGAGTAATTTCATACAAATTCATGTTGATACACAGTAAGGTCCTATACACATACATATGACACTTGCATTCAGTTTGCAAAATTAATGATTTATGTACGTACTTTGACCTGAGGGTATGATTTTTTGTTCTTTTCACTAGAAGCACCAGGAAGTCCACCATGTGAAGGCCCTTCGCATACGTATCGGAAACGAAATCCCCTCTGTGGAAACAAAGGAAAAGAAACTTGAAAGCTTTTTAGAAAAAAATCTAGAGACAAATAGCACACGCATGCACACACGAGTGCGTGTACGCACATACAACTTGCTCAAACAGCCCACAAACAGAAAAGTTACAACTGTTCATTCCTGAAATGCTGTGTGTGTGTTGGTTAACAAAGCACCACTGAACTGCAACCCTGGAGAAACTGTTCTATTCTCACTCTTAACACACAGCAGCAACCTGAAATTTTTCTTTCAGTAAGTGAAGATATTTTGAAGCAGAGATCTATTTATACTGTCAAAACAAGATAAAAATTAAAAGATAGAGAATGCAAGAGCAAATACGCTCTCCCATGATTGCTGCTAGGTAGAGAGAATTGATGCCAATTAATAATCAAGGAAGTCCAAAGCATCATAAAGAAAAGAACAGGGATGAAACAGAAATGGTTCTTCCTTCTGGGAAGAGCATGTGAAAACTGTATTTCTGAGCGGAGTCCAGAAACAGCACAAAAGCTTCAGGGTACTTTGAATGGCTGGGTTTTCATCTCAGGTACATAACTACATGTCTGAATCTACTTTAGGGAACTGCAGGATATTAGCAACCACTCTGGAGTACAGCTGTCCATTTATTCCATTTTTATTTATAGGAAATCACATCCCCTTTACTTTACAGGGTATTCTATAAGGCACAAAAGATGCAACTCTTAAGCAAATGTATTTGGTAACGCTTAATTTTAACTATATTATTTTAACTGTATTATTTCATGTGGCCCGCAACTTTGAATACTTTCAGATCTACTCCCCAGCCCTGCAATTTCAGGCAAAATCCCTGTCTTATATAGAGCTCCCAGTGTCTGTCCAAACAGCACCAGTTAGTGTTGTATCCTTCATGAAGAATCATTCATCTTCTTTCTAAGAGTAGACAACTCTGAATTCAAAGTCTATATTAGCTGACCGTGAACAACATGGTTCAAAAATTACTCAGTAATCATTAGCTTCAATACCTGTCTCACTAAAGCCTTTTCAGTTTAAGAACTTGTCTCCCAGGCAGATGTAAAGATCTGACTTTTATTCAGATACTGACCAAACAATGTAATTCACCATTAAGCACGTATTTGCCTTCCTATAGTGAACTGAGTGACTGAGTATATTGCAAGTGAAGTGCCCAGCTATGATGAGCTTGAACTCCAATTTTCCAAAAGGCAATGCAACATCTGCAGTCATGATGCATGAGATCACCCAGTCTCTCTTCACCTCCATGCCTTTGATCCTACAGATCCAGCAGTCACCTGTGTGGCCTTCCCCAGTCTATTGCCCTTGCCATCCTAGGTAAGTTTTCACACGTACAGTATTACTCCCCCCAGCTGTCTCTTTGCTCCAAAAATGATCAAAAGCACAGCACTCTGCTGATGGATCACTCTCATCACCCTGTTACAAACCATTGCCCAGCTTGCCACTCCACTTACATGCTGAGAAGTCATGCATGGAAGCAATGGTTTCTCCTCAGGTACTGCACACTGTAGGCTGCACCACACAAAGACACAGCCTGATTTGGGATGAACTAAAACAAGGAAGAGGCAGCATATTCTTCCAAGAGCTTACAGTACAATGCTGTTTCACCTATGACCACTGAATTGTCCCTATTCCTGGAGGGATGCTCAAGTACAAAAATGTCTTCAGTGTATCTGAAACAAATATTCCCTACTGCCTCCTACCAGGAAGACTGAGTTGCAGCATGCTTCTGCAGAAGATCAAGAAGGGGATGGGACAGCTTTTAGTCACCCTCTTCCCCCATCTTCTTAACAGCTCCGTAAGGCAAGATTTTATGCAACTAATTGGGAGAGGCAGGAAAGGAGTCTCCATACCATAATAGCTTAAGGAGGAATACTTGTAATTGCTGATGCCACCAGCTGAAGGGGAACCAATACCCTGGCATACTTGAGGGTGATCTTCACCCAGCAATTACTTTGTACATCAGTTGCACGAAAACTAACCAGTGTATTGGGATGACTTGCATACTGTCAGAGAACCGTGTTTGCTACACAGTCACCAAAAAAGTTGCATTTATCTTCATTTTCCTTGGGTTATTCAAAACAGCCAACTGTGATGAAAGGAATCTCAAAGGACAACAGAATTTCTTTACGATGACAAAGCAGAAGTCAAAAGTTCCTGTAACTTGGGAACAGAAGGAAATATTTTCATTCTTTCTTTCATGTGTTTCAAGAAACACGAAACAAACTCTAACAATCTTCCATGCTTGGTCTAATCATTTATGTTTCAAAATACCAGGGTACTGTTAAGAGTCACTTCTAAGATGAACAGTTTATACTTAGCAAGATTTTTTTTTTTTAACGTTCCCCCCCCCGATTTTTGTCTTATGACACTTTCAGAGAGGCACAAAGATGAAAACAGAGCAAAACAGGAAACGATGTAACTACAAAAGTGAGAGGAAAAACTGCTTATGGTTAAGTGCCACATTTGTTATGAGAGTTCAACCTCTTCAATACTTTCTTCCCCATCTTAAGTCATAATTTTATTCAAAGATGAATATAGTGACATAGCTACCTTAAGAATTTTCAAAATGTAGTGTTGTTCTTACCTGTTTTGGCTGTTCTATGATTTGAAGATATGGTCCATCTGCTAACATAAAGAAAGAAAAAGTCATAATAGAAATTATATTCCTATTACAATAACATGTACATTGCAGGGGTAAAATTTATGTCCTTGCATGTCTTGAGATAAAATTTCTGAGAGCACCTAAACATCTTCAGAACTTACATTTTAATAAATAATTTAATCACTTAGCAGTTCACAAAGATTAGAGGATTAAGAAGGGAAAGACTAACTCAAAAAAGTTAATTTTAGCTCCGAGGGCCTAAATGGGCAACTCTGATCACTCAGTTAAGACTCGCAAGGGTGAGTAAGAACAGGATCCTCCCCTTGCCACTGACAAGCAGCCTGGCCTTCCTGAGCTAAGGTTAACTTTTGTATTTAACCCCCTTGGGCTCTAAAGACTATACGCATAAGCTTTTGGCTCTAGGGCTTCCTACTGAATAGGTGCTTTTGAACGTCTCGAGATAGCCAATGGGAAGCTCTGAGGTATGGGAATATAGGAGGAATTTAAGCTGTCTCAACATGCCCCAACAGTCAGAACTGCTTTCAAAAAAAACCCTGGAATTGAGGAGACTAAACAATTTACATTCTTTTAATAATTCCAGGTACACTCTTAAATATACTGTTCTGCTGTGCCTCTAAAAACACTGAACACACTCTATTTGACTACAGATGTAGACTCCATAATGAGATCCATCTTTAAGCATGATGCCAATACGTATGATTATGTTCCACTAAAATTCTATCTGTGTCTTTCAAAGAAGGCTTCCTTAAACAAGCTTTCAGTCTTGCATCGCTCCCTGAACGGTGGCTAACTTCATACCATAAACCTCATTCAAAATTCAACAGTTTAAATTGCCTTTGAGCAGGCCCTAAATCCAATGAGAACTCGGTGCCACCAGAGTTAGGAATTCATCACCTGACTAAAGCTTAGCTCCAACTCTAACCGTTTACATTATTTACATCGAGAAGGAAAGCTCTCTCGTTGGATGGCTGTGAAATACCTCTTAAAATGCAAGCCACTCTGAAAATGACAGTTCTGAGAGGTATGATTTCTTCCATCCCTTTTGCTAAACAGAGAAGAAGATTTGGATTTCAATGCTAAAAATTCAACCGTTATCAAAGCAGATCCCAAACGACAAGTCTCACTGTGAATACCTACTGTGAATACCTATTTTGCCAGCTTTATTCCTGTTGGAATTATGTATCATCACTTATACTCTATTAAAGGTATTAATGCTAAGGCATCAAGCAAGCTTCCTGGGACACGTGAAACCTCCAAAGCAGACAAGCCATAGCTATGTGGCAGAGCCTGCAAGCATATAAAGCATACTGTGCCCTGCCAACATCCAGGTGTGATCTGCCTTCCAACAATTGCACTATGTGCAAGTACCACACCATCCAGCTACCTCAACTAGCTAGTAATTGGCTTCAGCACAGAACTACATACCTGCCTCACCTTTAGTTTGTCAATAGGCCTAATGTTCATTGATAATTAAAAATGTCAGAGGACTCATTAATTTACAGTTTGTAGTATGACTACATGCATCTTTCTCAGCTCCACAACACAACTTCACTTTAATAAAACAGACCTTCATGTCTTTACTCAGCACAGGTCTTAACTCAACAGGCTTCTCTGAAACTGAAAGATTTGATAACTATGCTAACAGATGGAATTAGCAATTTGCTGCTGAAGTTAGCTGACTCAGCAACCAAGTGCCAAAGTTATATCGCAAATGCCAGTCACAATAATTTCACATATAAAGATCATTTATTTCCCAAGTCCAAAGCTCTTCCTGTGAAGAAGTAAACAGTGCTACAATTAAAATATTAAATCACGCAAAACAATTGCCTGAAGACCATATACACATCACCTTACATTAGAAAGCATGAAAAACAGTTTGGACTTCAGAAACTTTGAAAGGCATAGAGTAGTATTGAGCTTTGGTGTGGTGTTACGTTTCAGTTTTTGCCTGTAACATGAAGTCAAGATGAGTCGAGCTGGGTTTAAGCATTGTATCGGCACTTAAATTTAAGACCTCTGTACACAGAACTGCAACTCTCCTCATGCTTTGGGCATCTAAAATTTTATAATTTAACAATCCAGAGGTGTTTCATCTTCTGGGCACTGGCAGAAATAATGCACCTAAATTGCAACTATGTAGTTCAACTTTCAACCAAGCCTCCAGGTCAGGATCTGCCAAGTACTTGTTCTTTGGCTGTTCTCCCCTTAGGAGTTCGTTTTCAAGGCATATACATTGGATTAGTATTGGCACAAAATACTATTGCTTTCTCTTAAACATTAGCCAGAAAAGGAAGCACTCTTTTATCCAACAGCTAAGTGGCTGCAGCAGTTCCCCAGGATGCAGCAGACCCAGATTCCAACTTCTCCTCAGCATCAGGAAATTCAAACTCCTGAGCGGGATATACACTGTACTGGCATATTGGAAAGCTCAAGGGAAATTCTTCATACTGCTGAAAGTTTCACCTTGCATGGCCCTTGTGAAAATGTAGGACTGTGGTTCTTATGCTCCCTTGGAAAAAAGCTTATAAAAAACATACAAATACACTGATACAAAAAATCAAGATATCTTACATACTAATACTCAGAAAGTGCAAAAAAGGTGCAGTGTAAATGTACAAAGGCAAATCAGACGTCTGTTATCATTAATCCAGATTATATAAATAATATACCAATGTACTTAAAACAAAGTTTTGTGAGGTCTTATTTTAAAATTTGGGGTTTGTGACTAAACATTTTCTTTTTTACAATGACTAATTCTCTGGTATAGCATCTGAACCAGATCCATGTAAGAGTACAGAGAAGGCACTTAATTACATCTGAAATGCTATTTAAAAATAAAGCAGCAATATTCAAGGTAACTTCCAAGCATAAATGGAATATTATTTTGACTACAAAAAGGATTTTATTTAGTGAAAGGTCTCATACAGCTGTCTTAACTAAACTCTGAATACTTTCCAGAAGTACATTAGACAGACAGCCTAACATTGGCTATGTGTGGTTCCTTCTTTCTCTCTCTCATCCTTTCCTGTGGGGAAAAGAAAAGATGTTTAGTGTTTTGCACAGGGAAGTTTTTAATATTTAGTTTCTATTAGTAGGCATGTCTGGTCTAAGCAGAGAGCAGCAACCTGAAGATGTACAGCTTCTAAGAGGAACTAATAATGAGAAAATTTGTGACGATCTTTTGTACTTCTGTTCTAGGTTGGAAAGTTGCTTGCTTCAAGTTCTTTTTTAATGAGCAACCCCCTTTTAGGTGTTAAACAACCACAAGAAGGAACGCTACTTAATGCATAGCTTCAGTTCTACTTTTGCCCCACAGAGATGCTGAAGTGGCATACTGTCATGGAGCTGGCCTCTAGACGGTTGCCAAGAGCCAATTTTTAACATGAGCACTCCTCACGATTTGCCTGGCACTGCTGCAGTCAGGAGGGCTAAGAACTGCCGCTAAAACATGCAGTCCTCCAGCCTGGAGGGGGTTTGGTGCAGACTGCCACATCCTGGCTATGCTTCAGTGCTTCCTTTTCTGTCTTCTCGCCCCGGTCGCCACAGACTGATTCGCATCCCACTGCCTCCCCTCCAGCCTGAGTCACAGTCCCACTTCCCCACATCTTCTTCAACTGCTACATTTCTTCATTTTCCTTCCTGCCTGAGTCAGAGGCCCTCCTGCATCTTGACACTCCCACCACTTACGTTTTTTTTCTTCATCTTGAGAGGCCTCACCCTGCACACACTTCCCAAAGGAGCACCCATCTTAGGCTCCCTCTTGGTTCCTTCTTCCCATCATAGCAAAGTCAAGAAAAAAGGGGTCTGTGAGGTTGGCAGGATATGCCTGCAAGCCTGGCAGCGCCACAGGACTAGTGGGGTCCTTTATCTAACAGCTTACCTAGTACCTAAAGCCATTCAATTTAACCTGCAACCAGCTGTGGTCAAGTCCCCCCCTCACCTCCTCTCTGCTAGTGGGTCCCTCCGAACAGGCCTCTCACCTCTGTCATTACTTGTGTGCTCTTTTGCTTGGTGGACATGGATGAAAATGCTCATAGCATCTAGGTTTTGATTGTTAAATCGAATACCAACCCTCTTGTGTGCATCCTGGCAGTGGTACCTTGTTGTTAAAAACTCAAGACTATCCTTCCAGAAGGCCTGTCGTAGCATTTGTACGTCCCCCCCTCAGGGATTCACCTGCACAGCCACACTCTCTGCATATCCGCTCTGTTCATCTCAGTTCAGAGGACGATGTTTAAAGCAAGCAGCACACAGGCTCTGCTTAACCTCTCTCTTCCCTCAGTTCACTCTTCAAAATACAAGCACAGAAGATCTAGAAACACCACCAGAAGCATTATGCAAGTCTGCTCATGCTTCTGAGGATTAGGGCCACTGCTATGGGACAGGGAAAATGAATGCTCATCTAGTTTTTAATGATGGTGAAGCTTCCTTGAATCTCTAACATTACCTCTCTCTGAAAAAATATGAAGTAAAGTTTTTTCTTAGTGCCTTCTTTTTCCCCTCTATGCTTTTCTCATTTCTCAACAACAAGCATCACACAGGGCTGGGCAGAAGAGGTTAAAGAAATACCAGAAAAATGTAATTTTAGCAGCCTCCAGGCAATACTGTTCAGCTGCTGCTGATGGCCCTGCTTCAACTCCACAGGCTTAAAAACACAACACCTTAATGCCAACAGCTGGCTAGACCAGAGGCCCTAAAACCCGAAACAATTAACCAGTTCCCAAAACCTTCTCTAACTGGCACAGATTGCTATGTTACATGGTTGTAGACGGCCTTGTATAAGCAGGAGGAGGTAAGAAACACCTAAAATTTTAAAACGCTTTACTCAGAGCTCTGCCCATTTCCTCTCCAATTTAAGGCATCGCTTTGTCCCTCCACTACACAGTGGACATCACACTGATGCGTATCTGCTTTTACGCTGCCTAAATGCCTGCCGTGGATAATGCTCCCTCCATCCCTGACGCCACTGAGGATTAGTACCGAACTCTCAAAGGCAGGATACTCCCCAACGAGCCAGAGGCAGCTGACTTCAGGACGTACTGCCCTTGCTGCCGGTGGTGTTTTAAACACACAGCTCAGTCCTGCAGTTTGCACTGTTATGGCATTTGTTACAGATAGATCCTTTTGTCACCAAAGGCACACAGAGACTATTTCTCTTTCTAGATTTAGATGTAAATGTAGAACTTGAACCACATAACTACCTACTACAGCTTTAGAGCCAAAATAGCCAAGCCTAATTATTACTTAAAACTGACATATGAGAGATAGAAAAAGAAGTGAGCAAACACGCTTGAGCGCTGACAACCTCATTGAGAAAATCCTCATCCTGACATCTCAAAGGTTTTCTACTATTACTGTAAATATTAATGTAACAGCAGAACATCAATCATCAGGAAGTCCCCAAATTCCCCAGCTATTTGTTAATTCAGCCATGCTGGCATGACACTGCAATCTACAGTTATACATTAAACCTGCCTGCCAATGGAGTAGGTCTGACATTGCGCAGGTATGAATACACAGAGTGCAAGCTGTAGGCACCATACCAAATCATGAGGAACAACTAACGTCTTTGGTTCTTTCTGTTTAAATCGTCCAACTGCCCTAGAGAAAAATCCTTTTTCCAACATTTATTTCACCTTCTCCATATCTCAGCTAGAAGTACTTTTGGAAAATTCTGCATGAATTTTTAACTGGCCTTGCTGTGTAGAGAGAAGTCATTAGTTCCTGCTTGTAAACAACTAAAGCTTAATACATAAATTATTATATTACCTTATAACTGAAGAGCTAGACCATAGTAACAACACAACATAGTTTCAAACGGGGGGGGAAGTAAGCATTATAGTGATACTACTCAAGAAAAAAAAGTCACTATGGTATCATCAGATGCCATTGAAATAATCAACCTTTTCTAAAACTTATGATTAACTTTTTGTTTGATAATCTGAAATCCACGATCCTTTATTAAATCCCATTTTGCACACAGGGAACTTGCCACCTATAGTGCAGCAGTAGACAAGAGCAGTGCCACTAAAAAAGGAGGCCTTTCCTAAGCAATTTCGCAAATTAAGGATAGAGTTAGACTTAGCCCAGTAGGAGTTTTCTGAGACTGCGCAACTCAGTGAACTCTTGACTCCCCCATACCGTTTTAAAAACAGCTGTTTTCTCGTTTAGACAGGACATAGATATCTGAAAATCAGTTTTATATATCTGAATAATTTGTATGTAATGAGTCTGGCATGAGGAGTACAGACTAAGCTTAAAAAGTATGTTTAGCAGAAATCATTATGGGGAAATCAGAATTCCAATAACCTTATTTGTTCCACAGAAACTGTGGGAGAACAGTGGAAAAAAAACCCTTGGTATACAATGAACAAGCCCTTTAAATCCTACACAGATGAATCTTACTGAACAACTTTATCTGCCTTAATAAAAACACACTGCAAACAAATGATTGCAACATTAATTTGTCGGATGCTTGTCCATATTTGCCAAGACCTTTGCTCACCAGAACATTTTATCTTGAAACAAAATTATCTGTACCATATGTGTTTCTTGATCCTTCCTTGCTACTATTCAGTCAAGAAAAGTGAAGTATGGTTTAAACCAGGAAACACTGTAACAGTAAACATGCCTTAATTTTTATTTTTAAATCAGCATTTATTGTTACTTTAGGGGGGAATTTTACCTATGAAGTAAAAAGCTAATTGCTTATTTCATTTTACCCTTCACACCTTCACTGCTGTCAAGTGTATCAAATATTGCAAACAGAAGTGACTTGCATTTTCAACAAAAGAAAGCAACCTGCAATACAGAATACACCAGCTACATCCCGATACAACAGAGTCAAACAAATCAACAACAGAAAGTTGTCATGTTAAAAGACATTAATAGCCATATTGGAGATATATTATTGCAGATAATATATTGAGAAAAACCTCATATGCTTAAATAACTTTTTATTTCTGCATAGAACTTATGTAGAATAGAACACAGAACATCTACACAGGAGAAACAAGAGTTTTCTAAATTCAAGCAAGAAGTAATACTTATAAAGAAATTTAATAAGCAAAACCAGACCAAGGCTGATCAAGCAGCTAATACTGGCTGCGATATAATATGCTTCTATTTGATATTCCTGTTCCAGGACCATACTGGAAGAACTTCGTATCAGACCTCTGCAGAGTACTATTTGCTTGTTTTCAGCAGTTGGTTGCAAAATTTGTCTCTGAACTTTCAAACTAGTGTTATTATTCAGGAAATTGTCAGGTACTTTTAATACCAGACTGCCGCTTTACAGGAAACTGAGAAGTCACCAAGGAAAAACACATTTGAATTATACAGGAAGCTGAATATACTCTACATTTTATTAGTGAAAAACAAGAACCTTAAGAAGTCTTACAACAAATGAAACACTGTTCAAAAGAAATAAATGTTGATGTTGCACTCTGAAAACTAGCAATACAAACATGTAGGTCACTGAAGATGCAGACTTAGAAAAAAAATACAAAATAATTGACAAAAGCAGGTCACTCAAAGCTTAACTAATTGAAACTTTCAGTTTCTGTATAAGCCAAAAGAAAATCAGATTTGCTTCACTGTTGAAAGTTTCACGAAGGTAAGAAAGAGATGCATAAGGGTGTAATAAAAAGTCTAGCTGACAACTTTGGGACCTAGTACTATGAAATACAAGAGTGTAAACAAAAAAAGACTCTGAAAAGAACTTCACAAAAAAACCCCAAACTGGAAGAAACAGCAGGACAATAGCACAAACAGCAACGATTCCTACCTGTTCGTAGTGGTAAGTCTGAAGTGATGTAATTTGTATTACTAAATAATGCATTCATTCCCATGAACTGATCCATTGCAAACATCTATATTGAAAGAAAATACACTCTTCATTACTACATATATACATCATTTCATAAAGCAAAGACTTTCAAAGTTCTCTGCAAATATTGAGACTGCAAACACCCCGGTGCAGTATGTAAACTTTTTATATCTATTGTATTTTTGCTGGAAAAGCTGATAGTACTGACCAAGTTTCACCAGTGTCATGAGACCACACTGAGCTCAGCACAGTTTCTAAGCATGCATTTTGCTTACATTCACTAACAACTATATATTCAAAAGAGCTTACAAGATAAATTCTAAAAATCTGACCCTAGATGGTCCCAATGCCTTGCTGAGAACCTGTGAGTTTTCATTTCCACTTCTGTGATTAAACCCCATCAGAATATATTCCTTATGTAAATATATTTACAAGTTCTAATGAAAGAAAACAGTATACCCAAGTTAAAAGTTTTTGGGTTTTTTTTTGAACGCTGACATGTCTTAACTCACTGTAATTGTTGTCAAGTATAAATTTATCTTCTTCCAAAGTGGAGCAAGGACAAAGGAGAAAATAGTTTCTTTTTCAAAATGAAAGTGAGTAGAAATGATCTGTTTTTCACCCAAGCACCATTCTCGCAATTCAAACGAATCATGAAATGACCTAATGAGATCAGGAAGAGCTTCTGAAGAGCGAGGCCTACTGATCTGTGTGAGCGAAGGAACATTTTAGTCATCAATATCAATGCAAATTTCACAAAAAAGGATACAAAGGAGCCTTTTAGGGAATAAGGAGCTTTATTCTCAGATAAAGTCCAATGTCCACCACAGAAGAAATTTCAGAGCAAGTGTCACGGGCAGACAGCATAAAAATGAGTATTTTTTCAATTGCTTCTTTCAGCAGGCCTAGCTTTCCTTTTCATTTCACCCATTTCATCAGTGGCAAGGCACTTTACAGGTCACATGAAAACACATTAGAGAGGAAACAACCTAGATTTCCCCAAACCCGATTTCTGCCAATAGCTAGAATGTGTTTATATCTCCATGTTGTTAAGCCTAGGAAATGACAGGACAATACGAGAGGAAGCCAAACCAGAGACCTAGAAGAGAATACCAGGGTACTGAATGTACACAAATCCACTTACTTGGGGATCAGACACTCCCATAATATAGGAATCTTCTCCTGCCATTTTAAGTCCTGAAACACAAAAACATGATCAGAACTCTCTTTTTTTTCAATGTACAGCAACAGAGAAAGTTGAAAAACATTGGAGTTAAAAGCCCCATCTCTGACCCTTCTTAGTTTACTAATGATGTTAATGATTTCTAAAATACTCTTAAAATTTCTCAGTATTTGCAAGGGGCAGGCAACAGCTAGGATTATCCATTGCCTGCTCCCAAGCAACTAAAAATTACAGTCAATGTCCTGAAGTAAAAGTTTATTAAAATCAGGAATTAATTTGTTTCTGTCTTTGCTCTGACTATTCTGCTATTAGAATTTAGGCAAAATCATTATTATGATTATTAATTATTTTATTCAGAGATTACATGTCTTTTTAGCAAAAGCTGGACTCTGCTTTTTTATACAATAGAAAGACTTCTGAGCTTTCAGGAATGAACTCTAATGGTTTTCTTGTGAAGTATTACTAAATGCAAGATAAAGATGCCCGAGAAAGAACATCCTTTTTTTTTTTTTTTAAATAAAAACAGGAATCAAACATAAACTAATTCTGGACACCTTTATTTCCAGCGGTCCACAAGTGTTTGGCACCCACAACAACTCAGTGCTGACAATGACAATTATGTATGTACAACATACCTAACCCTCTCTCACAGGTCTACACGTAAATGCTGGACACTGGGAAAGTTTAGTCTGGCTTAGTTTTCCTGGGGCCAGCAGCAGAGCCTGGAAATTTTCTTAGGAATTTATTAGGTCTATCATAAAAGATTAGCATTATTTCCTTTCATGTAGATACTATTGAAAGAATGACAATTTCACTTATGTTGATCTTACTAAAAAAGGCTCTCCAAGGGAACATCTGAAAATAATTGCAGTGACTATTTCAAGAGACTCATGTCTGCACACAAGCAGACACCTTAAATAAGCTTAATAACTAGCAGAAGATAGAAATGTGTTACTGGTCCTCAATATTCCACCACAATGAACATAAGCCATGTTTTCCAGCAAAGCAAACTCTGAAAATCTACCGCTCTGTGAAAGAGAGTGGCAAGCAATCAATAAACCAGTAAAGAAAAACTGAGTCACTGTGTACATTCTACAGGAACTAGAAAGGCAAATATCCAAGAGGAAATTTGGAATACTCAGGTACTTCACTTTGATGGAGGCTCAATTCGGCTTGCTAACGCACTCCAAAGACAACATCTAGCCACCCATCCCACACAGGTAGAAAATGAAAGATGATATAAAATGGAGAAATAAGAGACACTTAAAACCCAGATGACTTCCAGGAAAAAGAGGTCCATGAGGATAAAATTATTTTTTAACCTAGAAAATTACTCACCTGTTTGTAATTCAATTTTACAGAGAAATATTTACTGGGTAATATTTATTTGTAGTACTTGAGCAAATATCAAATAACTGGTCATAAGATTTCAGCCAAAAATTAATAACAGATCTAACAAGCAGCCACAGTCACCCAGGCTGTACTTCATCGCCTAATAAACAAGGAATTCAGCAATATAAAAAATACCAGTCAATCACATTCTCTCACAGGCACATTCTGCAAAGCATTATTTTCATCAATAACTTGCTATTGTTATTATAAAACTTTACAGAAAAAAAGTCAACATAGAAGGCATAACAAAACCTTCAGCATACAACAAACTCTACTAAGATGTTTTTATTTGTCATTCCATCCCATATAAAGACTACAACCCTCATCATCAATTGACAAGTTACTGAAATCACTAAAGTAACTGTAATTTAGTTTTGGCAAATACTTCCCAGTTAAAGGTGTAGATATTACAGAAAACAATCTGAAGACCTCAACAGCCAAGATTTTTAGGAAGTGTCAGAAAATACCCACCCTGTTGATGCACACGGATTAGGTAACTTGTGAGTGCACATGCCACATTTCCTCTGCATAAACAGAATAAAAACTGGTCCTAAAAGTTTTGTTTTGTGGTCTCTCATATTTAATCATGTAGTATTTCATGAGTCACATATAGCAAAATCATGTTCCAAAATACCTAAAGTACCCAGATAACATGGTAAATATGCTTGTTCAGAAAAAAAGGATTCTGAGGAGCTAATATGAACAGCATCTACTCACTTGCCTGTTTGCTCAATACATACTTCTTTGCAAACTTTCAAACAAAGCATCTCACAGCTTTTTCTGAAAGCCAAATAGGATAAATTTAACAGCATGTTCTACTGTCTCTGCCCTATTCTAATTTCTCAGACTGCATCATTCTCACTCCAGCAGAATTCTGTGAGAGAAGGGCAGCTCTCACACCTGCTACGCTTCCTGGTCACATTTACAGTTCTACAATGCATGACTTCAACAGAGGGGAAAAGTACCAGAGAGGCAGTATTTTTGAAAACTTTTCATTTAAAGAACTTTGATATAAAAATTAGAATCCATACAGAAATAAAACCTATGTCTATCTGAATCAGTCTTTCAATTTCACCTGATCAAAATGGTCATTTCTGGCTTTTTGGCTGACACAATGAACAGGAATGCCATGATAGCAAATTTTCAAGATGAGCCTTACACTCAGAAGCAGCAAGGTAACTACCCACACACTGCCCGGCTGCTGTAGGTATGTACTGATGAATTTCTAAGCAGGTACTAAACACAATCTCACACCAAAAGCACAAGTGCCTCTTACCTGAGATCTTTTGTGTTCAGCAGTCAGCTGCAGTGCTTGGGGGAGAGTTAAAGACATTCTCTCTGGCTTGAATGCTAAGCTAGTTTATTATAAACACAAGATGATTTACATGTGCAAACATATGCCTTTGTGTATGTAAACTGACACTTGATTGCCTTTTCAAGGTCTAGACAAAAATTAACCCAGCAGTTTAAAATGACCCCTCTAAATGACTGAAACCACTCTCAATTTCACTATATGTTTTGTCTTCTTTCAAAGCCAAACAAACAACAAAAATGTTCCAGGAGCCCTACCTCCAAAACAGTTTGTTTGCTTAGGATTTAGCTATAACAAATCCCTAAGCTTCCTCTTCTTACAAGAAAATCGGTTCAAATCCAGGGAGTCAGTAACATGATTAAAAAATAAAAAGACACTTGCAGAAAAACGACCCTAGCATTAATTGTATGACTTTTAATTGTTCTCTTCCCTTATTGCTTGAGTTTCTAAGCTCCCTTCCTACATGCATTAAGTGGTAAGATTAGCATCTACCACGAGCAGCTTTGTTCATTCTCTCCTTACACGAGCTGCATTTTTGTATTTGTGTTACCGTATATGCCTGCTTCCCACATAATCTCCAGTTCCCACAAACTGTACTGCAAACTTGCACCTACAATAAAAAAAAAAAATCCCTACACCTGCAGACCACAATCAACCATGCCAGTGTCCACCCTGGAGATCATCTGAAGTCTTTCAGACAATGGAGCACAGGAAACCAGACATTTCAACTCACAGTATTTTTTAGTGTGAAAATTCAAAGGTGGGTGAAGGAACATCATTTAGCTCCTAGTGCAATGGGAACATATAAAATCCAGCTAAACTTGTCCAAAACCATACAGCAGTGACTGCTGAGGGACTGTAAGTGTGTATGATGTGCATACGCATGCAGTATTCCTTTCTCCCCACAGCAGCTCAGCTGCCATTGTAAGAAAGGTTAAAAAGATGAAGAAAAAACCTAAGAAGATATATAGATATACATACACATACATGAAAGATGATGAGGTTGCACCAACCAACCAAGCAAACATGATGGCAGTTACTTTGCATCACTACTTCTCCTTAACAACCAAACAATACCAGGTACAAGTAGGCACAGCTGGAAGAACACAAGTTCATTTATTGTATTCTGAATATTTGTTTTAAAGCTTCAAAAGTATCAGCCATTTAAAACTGAAACAATGTAATGAACATAGGAATGCTCTCACCCAGGAACAAGAATTCTCATTTCTGTTTATCTCGATCATTTGATTTCAGACCTCTCTCTTGCTGTTCTCCAACATTCACTGTATCTGACTACCTTTTAAAAACAAAGATAGGTTTATCTAATGAAATATTATAGCCCCATGATATTTTGGAGTCCAGCTCCTTCCATCTACTCCTCCTCTTCAACTTTCCAGTCTGAATTTTAAAAATGAGATAAACCACCTTCCTCTTTGATACCAGTATCCAACCCGATACCTACAAACAGGGAATGGGACTTCCTATTATCTTTCTACAGACAAGCATAACCTAATGCAAATTTCATCATCTATGAGGAATCAAGCTTTAATGCTTGATTCAGACACTAATAGTCTAGTTATTTCTGAAAACATTTACAGACATCTCACCCAGTACCTGCATGCCTTTTAAAAAACTAGGACTTTAAGCTTGATTCTTTTTCTTTCCAGCTTTTTTGTCACACTGGCCTGGCTAAAAACCCAAACAGTACATATACTAACAAATTAGGAGGCACTTCTTATTCCTTTAAGCAAGAAATAAAATAATTTGAACTTGACCCTAATTAGTTGAACACCTCCCCCCACCCCGAAAAAGAAATTTGAGCTTTAGTACCCCAAATCTATCTATTCATGTTTTAAAGTGCACCAGTGCACTTACTGATGAAGCCAACATCTCACACAGGACCAGAAAAAAAAACCTAAAAACAAAAATCAAAAACCATGATACATGCTTCCTTTCCCAGACCTTCAGAGAGACATGGTAAGCAGGTCTCTACTTTTAATCTATGTTCTTTGAATATAAATGTATTTTTTTAAATCAATTTGGAGAGGTGAAGGATGAACAGTATCGCCAACTTCTCTAACGCCACAAAGACCTGCCTCATCATAGAAGAGGATGATGCCTGGTCGAAACTTTTATCAGCCACTCATGTCTTTTAAACTTTCTGTACTTTGAGCCAACAAAACAAAATAAAAGCATAAAAACTGATGTGAAAGGATGCCCATTATCTCCTCAGAAAATGAATGTAAAAGACTAGCATCAGGGTATCTGCCTGTTGTGTTTTCAAACACGAAGGATCAACTCA